TAGTTTTACCTACCCACGCGATAACCAATGACCCATAAATTCCACCTGTTGTGTGCGATATTGAACCTTTTCAGGGTTAAATGATACACCGTTTTGCCTCGCCCGCTCAAGGACCATTGATAGTGCTTATCATACTCAACCGCGGTTTCACCCATTATGCAAATATCATCGAAGTACACGACAACGCCTGGTATATCACTGAATATCTGTATCATATTACGCTTTACATTTCGGGTGCGTTGATGCCAAACGGTACGCGGTTGAACTTAAATCGGCCAAAAGGAGTCATGAATGTGGTTAGATCAGAGCTTTTTTGGTCTAACTCCATTTGCCAAAATCCATTGGATAAGTCGAGAACTAAGAACATTTTTTTGTAAGACATTTGGCTTATAAAATCATCAATTGTGGGGATCAGTAAGTGATCACGCTTAATGGCGCGGTTTAATGGTTTTGGGTCTAAACTGAGTCTTATTTTCAAAAATGTTATAGTCTAAGATCCGACAAAGGCACGACCTTCACCCATCTGTTATATGGATGACATCTTTTTTCAATGAAATTTAATGTGCTAATAAATATTTTGCGAGTAGGTTGGCTGAAAAAATCGTGGGCAGGACATTTTTTATTAAATATTAAAAATTATTATTATTTTTTAAATTTTGTACTCATTTGTTTAATGAACAAATTGTATACCAATCGAAAGTATTAAGCCTATGGAATGTGAAAACGTTGGGTTGTCTATTTTTTTCTGGCCTACCTATCGGGTTGGTAGGTATGAACAGGTAGGTAGTACTAGTAATTTTCACTCATCTGTTTAGCACATTCCATAGGCTTTATGCTTTCGATTGGTATATATGTAATTTGTTCATTAAACAAATTAGTGCAAAATTAAAAAAATAATAATAATTTTTTAATATTTGATTAAAAACATCCTGGCCAGGATTTTTTCAGCCAACCCACTCGCGAAATATTTCCTAATACGTTAAATTTCAGATAAAGTAGGTTTCATCAATTAAACAGATGGGTGAAGGTCATGCCTTTGTTGGATCTCCTACTATTAATATATTTTAGAATTCTAAGAATTTTCCAGGTTTTATACACAATAGGCCGGGTCGATTTGTGGGGAGGCAAAAAAATCGCCCATTGCTCTGTGAAAATCATATTCTAGGGATCAAAATAAGAAACTTTGCCGAAGGAACCATACCTCTAAAACGAATTCTGATGTCCCCCAATTTGGGTCGAACTTTTGGGTAGGGGCAAATTTTGAAAAATCCCACTTTGACCCATTTAGAGTGCTCCAATCGAGTCCAAATGTATGACCGACCCCCACTAACTTTGGAGGCCCGACCCACCGATGCCAGTGGCACACCCCCTGGAACCCCCCTGGGGGTTCACCATGATTATTTATAACTGATATGCACTTTGAAAAAAATAGTGATGAATTGATAGAATGTTTAAAGAACCAAAACAAATGCCTAGAGCAAGGCGAAATAAAAGTTATTAAACAATATAGTGTCAAAAATAACACCAAAACCTATTATAACGCAATTGTAGAGGTGGATGAGTGTATGTTTACTAGCGTTATGAAGTTAGATAAGCTAAACATAGGATGGGAAAGATGCAGATTCTACGATGGTGTTAACGTGACAACGTGTTTTAAATGCAAAGGATACAATCATAAAGCGACCGATTGTAAAAGTGAAGAAGTGTGCAGTAAATGTCTGGGAAAACACAAAACCACGGAGTGTAATGAAACTCCTAAAAACAAGTGTATAAATTGCATAAAGGCTAATGAAAAATTGAACTTAGGGCTAGATGAAAATCACTTATGTAATAGCCGAGATTGTCCAGTCTATTTAAAGCACTTAAGTGCAAAAAAGCATAGTCTTGGTTATTAGCAACTAACACACCACTCAGAAGTTGTAGATCAACATGAGGAATATATTCCCGCAAAAGTTAACCGCAAAAGCAAGTCTGCAAATGCTGATAACAGTGTATTAAAATGTATTTACTTAAATATTAATAGCATAGTTTCGAATAAAAGTGAATTGGAAGTGATGGCGGAAGTTCATAAGCCGGCGATCATATTATGCTCTGAAACGTGTACAACAAAAGATATTGAAGATAAAGAATTGGAAATAGCAACTTTTAACATGATAAGATGTGATTCCCACAGCAGGCACACTGGCGGAGTACTAATATACGTACATAGAGAAATAAACTTTAATATAATATACAATGATAGTGTTAACATGAACTTGTGGTGTATTGTAATAAAATTGAAAAAACTGGGTAAAAAGTGGCAAATAGGGGTGCTCTATCACTCGCCAAGCACAAGTGATGCAGCTTTCTTAGACTATTTAAATGAAATATTAATTGATAAATATGAAAAAAGTAACCACAATATAATAGTTGGTGATTTTAATATTAACATGAATCATATATCAACATATAGTACAAGACTGAATGAAATATTTTCGGTGATGGGTATGGCTCAAAAAGTGGATTTTAATACACGAATTACGGATACAACTGAATCTAAAATTGATCTCGTATATTCAAATTCAGAAGAAATAAAGTGTAAATCTTTGCAAGCATACAAAATTTCCGATCATGAAACTATAATGTTCAATGTTCCATCATCTAAATCTTATAAGATGAGAGTGTCCAAGAAAATTATTGCTTGGGATAAATATAGTAATGACAGTTTATTAAACCTACTAAGGACTTTTAATTTTAATATCGATGAAAACGCATTAATTGATGATAAAGTTGAACTAGTGAACCACATTTTAACGCAAGCAATGGAAAATTTAACTTATGAAAAAGAAGTACATATAAAACTAATGAATAAGTGGTACGATAGAGAGCTTGCACAATTAAATAAACATAAATTTTATTTATATACATGTGCTATACAGACAGGATTGTGGGATGAATACAAAAATATTAATAAAATGTATAAAAACCTGGTTAAAATAAAGAAAATTAAATACATGGAAAATAAAGTCATAATGAATGAAAACAACGCCAAAGAAATGTGGAAGTACCTTAAATCCACGGTCTGCTTGGCGCGTGATAAGGAAGGTATTAATAAAGCGGTAATCGATGGTATATTGGTAGAAGATGATCTTGCTTTGGCAAATGGACTTAACAAGTTTTTTATAAATAGTGTGATAGAAATAAATAATATTATAGAATATTTCGATATAACACTAAGTGGTAGTCACGCCAATTCCGAATTTAAGTTTGCAAAAATTACAACCGATGAAGTTATAAAAATCCTGCAAGATTTTAAATACAAAATAGGCGGTAGAAAAATTCTGTCTGACGGTGTAATAAAAGACTCTATAATGTATACAGGGTATTTCTACGCCCAAATAATAAATAGCAGTTTGGAAGATGGTATTGTACCAGAAAAGTGGAAAATGTCAACGGTGATCCCAGTTGAAAAAGTCAAAAAGACAATACAACCAGAAGAGCTCAGACCCATAAATACCATACCAAGTGATGCTAAAATTCTTGAGGTGTATGTTAAGAATCAATTGGTAAAACATCTAGATTCAAACAAAATACTTGTCAGTCAACAGTCGGGTTTTAGGAAAAAACATTCGTGCGAAACAGCTCTTAACTTTGTGATATCGGAGTGGAAAGACGACCTAAATAATAAGAAAGTGGTGGTTGCTGTCTTTCTTGACCTTAAAAGAGCCTTCGAAACGGTAGACAGGGAAATACTTATCAAAAAGCTTCAACAAATCGGTATTAAAGACATAGAGCTTGCGTGGTTTCGCAGTTATTTAAAGCATAGGAAACAGCGAACAGTTATAAAAACAGCGATATCGGACGAATTGGAAGTGCCCATAGGCTTACCACAAGGCTCGGTGCTAGCACCAATACTGTTCCTCATATATATAAATGATATAATAAATGTAATACAAGACTGTGAGATCAAACTATTTGCAGATGATGCATTACTTATGATCAGTGATGATAATATTACTACTGCGGTAACAAAAATGCAAAATGATCTTAATAACTTATACACATGGCTATGCGCGAATAGGCTAAAGCTTAACATAAATAAAACGAAATATATGGTGATAACTAGGAAAAATATTAATGATGAAGACTTAAGTGGGCTAAAAATAAATAATGAAAGCATACAAAAAGTTAATAGCATAAAATATTTAGGAATTATAATTGATAACAAACTTAAATTTGAAGAACATATAAACTACATAGTGGAGAAAGTCGCGAAAAAGATTGGGGTTGTGCAGAGAACTACCAAGTATATACAAGAAAAATATAAAATAATTATTTATAAATCGGTCATTGAACCACACTTTGTGTATTGCCCATCGATCCTATTCATAATAGCAGACAAAGAAATTGATAAACTACAAAAGCTTCAAAACAGATGCATGAGGTTTATTCTTAAAAAACGTAGAGATGCTAGAACGGGTGATATGTTAAAAAAGTTGAACTGGTTGAGTGTCAAACAAAAAATTTACTTTCACACCATGAAGTTGATATTTAATATAAAACATGGAAATGTACCTGAGTATTTAAGTAACAACGTAGTTTTAGTGGAGCAAACACACAATATAAATACTAGGAATAGACATAATTTCAAATTGCCATTGTTTCGAACAGAAATAGATAAGCAAAATATTTTCTACAAAGGCCTAAAAGGCTACAACGAGCTCCCATTGGAAATTAAAAACTGCAATGAAATCTTAGTTTTTAAGGCAAAATTATATGAATTTTGTAAAACTTTACCTATAAGATAGGATAGTGTAAATTGTATTTTGAATTAGGCTTTGAGCCGTAATAAATAAATAAATAAATAAAATAAATAATAATCTAGCGGCCTTGGTGAGCCACCGAGAATGTACAATTTTCCCTGGTTTGATGTTAGCCAGATCCACCGGAACCACGCCGCTAGAAATTGCATGGGCCATGTCGTATAAGTACTTCGAATCGGTGGAAAATTCAATTTTTTCTGGAGCAGGGGGCATATTTTGCAACTCAATTTTCTGGAAGCCGTCCACCACCTGAAAATATATAATAATAAAATAATTAAAAATGGTTGACAATTATAATAAATGAGTGATAGCAATAACTTACCGGAAGAGTTTCACAAGTTTCGATTTGACGGCTCAGTTTTCCGGTTGCCGATCTTGGTCCAGTGCTGGTGGATTTATCCAAAGCTTCAAACAAATGCCGAAACGGAAGTTCGTTGAAGTGTAGAAGGCAAACGAACCAATGCAATGGTCTTTTTAACAGCAATTCGAATCGTCGTATAATTCCACCGTGTTTGTTGGCTCACCGTCAGTGCATATTCCAATTAATGCATCCAGTGATATATTTTTATCGTTGAAAAAACCATTTAATTTGGTTGTTTTGTATTCAGCGGTTTCATGTTCCAGTCTTACGTAACCAATCAATTCAGAATTGGGTTCTCTCAAAATAACAAGATGAGGTTCTTTTACCATCCTAGTATGATACTTCTCATCAATTTTATCTATCGTTAAAGTATCATCTTTTCTGCCATCGAATGAAAATGCTAACAAATTGGTATCATCTAACCGTTTGCGAAGCACTTCTTGTCTGCATTTCTCTTTTTCTCTGCGAACTTTCGATTTATCCATGATGAGAGGTTTCCCATGCTTATCTTTAATTTTAAAATCTTGCAAAAGAGCGGTTCCCAATGCTGATGCTACTCTGTCAGGCACACCAAATCTGTCACATACCAAGGCAAAGTTAAAACAATCGTATCTCTCTGCGTATTGTGAACTTGTGCTTCTATCCATATCTTCTTGAACCGGTGGCGGTGCGTATGTTGAATCATCGGGATCTTGGTATGTTGGCATTGATGACATAGACTTTGCTCCTTGCTCTTCAGTTTCCATCACAAATGCATCCATTGTTAGTCTTCTCTGATTATGTTGATCGTGCATGAGCTCTTTGAGCCGTTCGGGAACCCAGCCGCATGCATATGGAGCTGCCTTCAAATCGTATTTACATGTTCCAATGTAAAAAATTGTTTCCAGAGATTTTACATACTCTGTAAATTGTTGGGTGTTGTTTCTTCTCTTGATTTGCTCTTGATACTTGTCAAGCAATTTATTCAATTTATTAAATACACTTTTTTTCAGCATTATTTCCATACCAAGTTTTTCCCAAATTCCAATCAACTTATCTTGTACTTGAATAGTGAATGATTTATGGGAAAACTTTTTTTGTTCTATTTTAGCACGTTCGCTTAAGTAAAAATAATATCTCAAGATATCCAGATGGGTTGATAAATTAAGATCAGTTAAATCCGTAGACACACCAAAAACAGTAACATCATGCTTGGGTATATGACTCATTGGGTTTTCGATAGTTGTTGATGTAGTTGCTTCATCTTGCGGTGTAGAGGATGGTGGATTCGTTGTAAACTTTTTGATTTGGAATGGTCACTTCACTTATTATTTTTTTTTTAATATTTTTTTATCTGAAATTAGCACTTCACACTTTGAGTTCTTCACAACGGCATTCACAAAAACTGTTGCGTTATATATGGTCTACGAGACGAGGTAATAAGAATGAAATGGTAATTTCAATTCTACCTGCTGTGTCTTGTGGTGGCTTAAAAAAAACAACACAAGCAATTTTGCGATCTGCAATTGTGTCACAGAGATACCTTCATTGTTTAAAAGGGTTGCGGTGCATTCCAGTGATGCCTTAATTGTTAAAATGGTTGCAAAAAACGCGCATTTCTTAAGAAGGTGCCTTAAAATACCCACAAAAAGGGTTGTAAAAACAACCTTCATTTCTTAAGTAGGTGCTATAAAAAAACTACACAAGTAAGTTTACGACATGCAGCTGTGTCTTAAAAAACGCACACAAGCAATTTTCCGATTTCCAATTGTGTCACAGTGATACCTTCATTTTTTAAAACGGTTGAATAAAAAACCCACACAACTATGTTTACGACATGCAAATGCATCACAGTGATGCCTTGCTTTTAAAAGGGTTGTAAAAACGCTAATTTCTAATAATTTTTTTTAATTTCTTTTCTATTACTAAGTTAAATTCATTTTTTCATTTACATATGTTCTGACTAAATAAATTTCTAAAGAGAAAAATAAACTCCAAAATGAAAAAACATAGGCATTTCGCTGATTTTTTCATGTAAAGTACAAAACCGGCGATTTTTTGAAATGTTTGT